GTGGTGGGCTCTTGTGGGTGTTCCAATGGCCCAGCTCACGTGTGGATGTCCTTCCCCTCCCCAGCCCATGGCATATGGGTGGCGATGGTTGCTGGTAGGGGAGACTGTCTCCATTCTTGTACTGCTTGTGTCAGCTCTGAGGAAACGGAAGCTCCCAGTACGTAGGCCTGATTCCCGCCTTATTCCTTGTATTGACTGGGACGGCAGTTGGAAAAGGAGCCCTTGGTCTGAGGGACCTCCCAGGGACCCATTTTGATTTTCACTTTCACCTTGATGGTAATTTGGGACATGCACACTGTCATAGCACAACTAGAGTAACTGTTAGGGTTCACGGTGTGTGGAGTGATCACGTGTGCTTCTGAACGTTTCTCCCCCGGGCAGTGCATTCTCACTCTCTGGGAAGTTAGGGAGGGAACATGGCCTACCCTCACAATAGTTACTCTACCCAGGGCCCAGTTTGGCCCTCGATATGGATTGTACAAAGGGAGGTGTTTTCTTTCCTTGGTCACCGGTGTGTCTCCAGGACCCATTGTGGTCCTCAGCACCTTGCGAAGTTGGTAGGGATGATTTCCTGAGCTTGGTTCCTCCCCACCTCGGCGTCTAAGGTGTCAGTTGGTGGACACCTCTCCTGTTTTCTGGAGCAGCCTGCAGCTCAGACCTGTGACGGGTCTTAGGAAGCTGGGTGGAGGTGCCTGATGGGGTGCATGTAAGGATGTCATCTACATCCTCTCAAGTCTTCGGATCCCAAACTGAACCAAGAGGCAGAGCCTGGAAAAGGACAGAGAATAAGGGCAGTGTCCAGAAAGCCTGCCCCAAACCTGAGGTCCACCTTAAGGCATGGGCCCACCTTCCACCCTCTTGCTGACATCTAATATGCTCGGGCGGGCGAGCTGTGAGGCAACCTGATGGGTGAGATACCTGAGGCTCAGCAGAGCCCAGGCTGGGTGCCAGGGACGCATCTTGGCCACCTCTTTGGTGCCAGGGAGAAGTCCTATGTCCCAGAAGAAGGAACGAGTACATGTTGTGGGAGCCCTGCTCTGTCCCTTTTTCATGTCTGGGCCCCTCCTGGCACCTGTCTCAAGATTTACTCCTGAAATCAGCTTAAGTGAGATGCAGATGGAGGAGGCAAAGCTCTTTTTCTGAAAAACCAGGCCCAGAGGGGAGGCAAGCTGTCTGCCAGCCGGAGCCTCTGCCTGCCGGCCTGGGAGGGGCCTGGGTCCCAGTGCTGAAGGTGGGAGTGGAGTGATTCAGCCAGGACAAGGGAAGGTTGAGGATTGAGACAGGACACCAGGTGTCAAGCTGATGGAGCCCACAGGACGGGGGATCTCGGCTGGATGACGGGAGTAGGTAACCGGAGTTGCATCAGCCTGACTCAGGGCTCTCCAGGGCCTGGCGAGAGCAGCACGTGGGCATGAGAGTGGACACTGGAGGGGCAGAGGGCAGCCCAAGGGGCTCTAGAAGGGCTGTGTGGGCTGTAATAATTCAGGCCAAATAAAGGGAAATACAACTTCTGGATTTTTTAAATTTAAATCATTTTTTTTCCCTCTTGACAACTTAGAAAATTGCTTTTGAAAACTGTGTCATATCTGCTGAACTCAGGCAAGAGAAAGTCCTAAGGCCGGTAGAGCAGAGGTGTGGGGCCTCCTCCTGAGCCTCAAAGTGTCTGGGGAGAGAATAGTGCCAGCCCCCTCTGTGCACCTTAGCCTTCTCTGTGCTGGTGGTGCTTGGTGTCAGGACCCACACCCTCCCTCCTTAGGCTGAGACCAGCCTGTGGCTTGGCACCAAGGCTATGGCCCCACCCCCACCCATCCCCCACTGGCCTCCAGTGGAATCGTCTTCTCGAGTTTCTGGTAATTTTATCAGGGCTGCATCGTGTTGCTAAAACTACAGATAACATCTCCCTATGGTAACTGTTCCCCACTAGAGCCCCCTGAGGCTGGACCCAGGCTCAGAGGAGGGACACTGGGGTGTGGGATGTCTTTGGGGGCATGAGGGTCTATGAGGCAGAAGCAGGCTGGCTGGGATGCTGGAACCGTATTGAGGTATGCTGCTTGCCATTGGAGCTTCTGGAACATGGGGTCTGGAGCTGGGTGGGGGGCCTGCTAATCGTCTCCTGGTATCTCTAGCTGGGCCCTGTGGACAGGCCCCTAAGCCCAGGTACCGGCACAGAGAGCCACCCCTCCCCAGTCCAGGTCCACCTTAACTGGGCGGGGCAACAGCTGATGCCATCTTCACGGAGGGCAGCTCCAGCCTGAGTGGAGGACTGGCTTTGGAGGCACTCACAGCTCCCAGCCTGCTCCCTGGCGGCCCAGCACCATGATCCAGGGCGCCCTAGAACCCGGTGGCCCCGGCTGGGGCTGGGACGGGGATGGAGACGATGACTGGGACGGTGCTGTGCTCACCCTGTTGGCGCTGGCTGTCGTGGCTGCCACGGCCCTGGCCCTGCACTGGTTCGGCTCTGAGCAGGACCGGGAGGCAGCAGGGCCAGCATCCACCGGCCCCCAAGCCCAGCCTTCACAGGCAGGAGGAGCTGGGCCAGCCCTGACCCCAAAGTCCAAGGTCAGTGGTGGCATCGAGGGACACAGCTCTGGGCAGGGGAAGCCAGAGCCTCCAGGACCGAGCCAGGGGACTCCAGCTACAGCAAGTGCCCAGGACCACCAGCCCCACGAAAGTGAAGATCTGACTGCCACAGCCGCAGCCCCACCCAAGGCACCCAGCGAGGCGGCCAGCGGAGAGGCCTTGGGACAGCAGCATGACAGTGCCACCTCTGAAGTCTCCCGAGGTGCAGGAAAGCAGCAGCCCCGGCCAGGTGCTGCCCTCCTGGGCAGGAGCAAAGCAGGGGGGACACCTGCCCCTCTCCTGATACACTTCACTCCTCCGAGTCTGGACAGAGACGTGGAGGTGCAGGCAGAGGCAGCAGGCATCCCAGCCAAGGCGCCAGCTCCCCAGGCCCCGGTCCACACGGTGGAACAGGACACCGGCTCCTGGAAACACGGAGTGGGGCCACCTGGCTCACTGGGGAGACGGTCAGGCAGCCGGCGGAGGCAGGTGGATAACAGCCCAGGGGAGAGAACCCGGCACCTCCCAAAGCTGGACCCCCTGCGCCTGGGAGCGGCGGTGAGTGTGTGGGACGCTGTGGATGCAGCCAGCACCTTCTCTGCAGGTGCCCAGAGGCCCCTTTACCGCCATGAGCTGCCCCCACCAGACTCGGTGCAGGCTGGACGCCTGACAGATGGCTCAGAGAGGGGGTGTGGGAGAAGCAGCCCCCAGTCAGACCGAGTTTTAGCTCTGGATTCAGGGACCAAAGCTGGTGAGAGCAGGGAGTCTCAGGGGTCCCCAGCCTCTGTGGAAGGCTGGCCTTGGGCAAAGAGGGAGGTCCTTGTCACCAAGAGCTTCAGCCAGACCCCAGGCTTCACAGGACCACGGCCAGAGGGACAGCAGTGGGGACACCCACTCTTGTCTCAAGAGGGGACCATAGTGACCTGCACTATAGGAAAGGTTGGGGTGAATGGCTCTGGTGACCACTCTTTCTTCCGCTCAGACTCAGGCAGGATAGAAAAGCAAGGGACGCGCAGTGGACAGGTGGCTGGCTGGCTGGACACAGAGAAGCCAGCTACAGACGGCCTTGGTTGTGCCCCCTCTCCGCATCCCTCAGCCACACCCCGCCTACTCATGCCTAAGCCCCTCTCACCCTCAGCTTCCCTGACTGAAGCACATACCAACCGAGGTCTCTTACCTGCAGCCCAGACTCTTCCAATCGTCTCTCCTTCACACTCTTTGCCCCTCAGAGTTGATCAGGGTCCTGCCAAGGATGAAAATATCAGAGCAGTGTCAGCCCCCATCTCAGCCCCTGCCCCATCCCCAGCTGCACTCCCAGCCCCAGGCCCAGCTACAGCTACAGCCCCAGCCCCTGCCCCAACCCCAGCCACAGCCCCAGCTGCATCCCCAGCCCCAACCCCAGCCACAGCTACAGCCCAAGCGCCTGCCCCTGCCCCAGTCCCAGCTACTGCCCCAGCCCCAGCCGCACCCCAAGCCCCAGCTGCATCCACAGCAGTAGCTCCAACCGCTGCCCCAGCTGCACCCCCAGCCCCAACCCCAGCCACAGCTACAGCCCAAGCGCCTGCCCCAACCCCTGCCCCAGTCCCAGCTACTGCCCCAGCCCCAGCCGCACCCCAAGCCCCAGCTGCATCCACAACAGTAGCTCCAACCGCTGCCCCAGCTGCAACCCCAGCCACAGCTCCAGCTCCAGCTCCAGCCCGAGCCCCTGCCCCAGCTGCAGCCACAGCTCCAGTTGCTGCTACATTCCCAGCCCCTACCTCAGCCCCAGCTGCAACCACTGCCCTTACCCCAGCCCCTGCTGCAACCCCAGCCCCAGCCTCAGCTCCTGCCCCAACTGCAACCCCAGCCCCTGCTGCAACTCCAGTCCCTGCTCCTGCTGCAACCCCAGCCCCTGCCCCTGCCCCTGCCCCTGCTGCAACCCCAGCCCCTGCCCCTGCCGCAACCCCAGCCCCTGTCCCTGCCGCAACCCCAGCCCCTGCCCCTGCTGCAACCCCAGCTCCAGCCCCTGCCCCAGCCCCAGCCCCTGCCCCTGCTGCAACCCCAGCTCCAGCCCCTGACACTGCCTCAGCCCCTGCCCCTGCCGCAACCCCAGCCCCTGCCCCTGCTGCAACCCCAGCTCCAGCCCCTGCCCCAGCCCCAGCCCCTGCTGCAACCCCAGCTCCAGCCCCTGACCCTGCCTCAGCCCCTGCCCCAGCCCCAGCCCCTGCCCCTGCTGCAACTCCAGCCCCTGCCCCTGCTGCAACCCCAGCCCCAGTCCCTGCTCCTGCTGCAACCCCAGCCCCAGCCCCTGCCCCTGCTGCAACCCCAGCCCCAGCCTCTGCCCCTGCTGCAACCCCAGCCCCAGCCCCTGCCTCAGTTGCAACCCCTGCCCCAGTCTCTGCTGCAACCCCAGGCCCAACCCCTACCCCAGCCCCTGCCTCTGCTGCAACTCCAGCCCCAGCCCCAACCCAAGCCCCAATCCTTGCCCAAGTCCAAGCTTCTGCTCCAACCCAAGCCCCAATCCCTGCCCAAGCCCAAGCTCCTGCCCCAGCCTCAGATCCAGTCTCAGTCCCCACAAGTAAGTCAATGCCTGCAAGTCAGGAGCCTAGTATGACTCTTCGCAAGGGCAACCAGGAGGGGCAGATCTCAACCAGCTGGGGAAATCTTATTTCAATGGTTCTTAGGAGTCACCCCTTCCCCCGGCAAGAGAGGCCCCAAGGGACAGACCTAAGGGCAGCTCCGGAGAGCCAGAGAGAGCCCAGCAGTTCCACAGCCTCGGAGAACAGGGAGTCTGGTTCTCTCCCCGAAGGGACCATTCCTAGTCTCAAGGACATGCACGGCTCCCCAGCTGGGGCGGCCACAGGGGCAGGCACAGGGGGCCTGGCTGAGGCAGGACATCAGCCGCAGCACAGAAGCTCTGAGGCTAACGAGGCTGCGGTGCCCGGGGCCCCAGCTCCACTGTCAGAACAGAGGAAGCCTGGCCCTGCACCTTCCCCCTCTGCCAGGCGGGAGCCACAGCCTGTCCCCAGGCCACGGAAACACAGCATGTGTGAGCTAGCCAAGAGCTCTGAGCTGAAGGCCAGCCAGGCGGCCCCAGGAGAGGCCCCAGGGAAGAGGCCCAGCCCCGTAGGCAGCAGGGAGGTCCTCACAGAGGAGCAGAAAGAGGCCCGCAAACTCATGGTGTTTCTGCAGAGGCCTGGGACCTGGGGGGTGGTGGAGGGGCCCCGGAAGCCCAGCTCCCCTGCCCGGGAGCCGGCTTTGGCAGCAGCTCTGCAGCGGCGGCTGGACCTGGGCAGCTGCCTGGACGTCCTGGCCTTTGCCCAGCAGCATGGGCAGCCTGTCCTGGCCCATGAGACCTATGCTTTGATGAGCGACAATCTGCTGCACGTGCTGGGCGACCCGAACCTCTACCGGCAGCTGAGTGGGGCTGACCGGGAGCGCATCCTGGGCCTTCGAACTAGCAGGGGCCAGGCTGTGCTGGGGGTCCTCGTGCTGCCCAGCCTCTACCAGGTGAGCCGCTCAGGGCTCACCAGGGGCCCCCGAGTGGAGGAGGCTCCTGCCACAGGTGCTGCGCCCCTGCCTCCCCCATCGCACCTGCACGTGTTCAACCCCCAAGAGAACACCTGGCGGCTCCTGACGCAGGTGCCAGAAGAGGCCCCGCTGCGGGGCTGTGGTCTCTGCACCATGCACAACTACTTGTTCCTGGCAGGGGGCATCCGTGGCTCGGGCACCAAGGCCACCTGTTCCAATGAGGTCTTCTGCTACAACCCTATGACCAACATCTGGAGCCAGGTGCGGCCCATGCAGCAGGCCCGTGCCCAGCTCAAACTGGTGGCCCTGGACGGGCTGCTCTACGCCATCGGTGGCGAGTGCTTGTACAGCATGGAGTGCTACGACCCCCGCACAGACACCTGGACCTCACGGGCGCCCCTCCCCGCGGGCACCTTCCCTGTGGCTCACGAGGCCGTGGCCTGCCGTGGGGACATCTATGTCACTGGGGGCCACCTCTTCTACCGCCTGCTCAGGTACAGCCCGGCGAAGGATGCTTGGGAGGAGTGCCCCTACAGCGCCAGCCACCGGCGTTCCAGCGACATGGTGGCACTGGGCGGCTTCCTGTACCGCTTTGACCTGCTGCGGGGCGTGGGTGCCGCCGTGATGCGCTACAACACCGTGACGGGCTCGTGGAGCCGGGCCGCCCCCCTGCCCCTGCCGGACCCTGTCCCGCTGCGCTGCACCGTGCTGGGCAACACCATCTACTGCCTCAACCACCAGGTCACGGCCACCTTCACGGTCTCCGAGGGGACTGCCCAGTTCCAGGCCAAGGAGCTGCAGCCTTTCCCCCTGGGGAGTAAAGGGGTCCTCTGCCCATTCATCCTGACTCTGCCCCACTCGGCCCCGCTCCAGACTTCCCTCTGAGCTGCGCCAGGACTGCCGTGCCCTCTTCAGGCAGACCCTGGGCCAGGCTGTGAGGCGGGTGGGGCCGGGCATGCGGCTGCTCTTCTTTCTGGGAAAACTTTCCTTTTCTGTTATAACGAGCCTGGTGCCTGGCCCTCCTTCTCCTCCTGCAAGTCAGGCTCCCAGCACCTGGGAGTTGGTGGTGGGAGTCCCTGCCACACCCACGTGCCTCCTGCTTTTATGATTGAGTCCTTGCTCCAGTGCCTCAGCTTGCTCTCAGGAACCCTCCTGGGTGGAAAGGACTCCCACAGGCCAGGTTCCCATCACAGCACCAACCACACTGCCTGGAAATAATCTGCCAGGGACCCAGGGGTCCCCAAGAACCTGGACTTGGCTGGCTGAGGGGTCGGCACTGCTGAGCCCAGGAAGGAGATGGCTTCTCTCGGGCTTCAAGCTAGGCAAGGGGCCCAGGAGGGGCTGAAGAGGGGACAGGGAGCAAATAAGTTCCCAGGAAAACGTCCGTGCCTCAGGATGCCCTGCCCGCCTGCAGCCTTGGGGAACCTGGCGTGGCTGACCTCAGAAACAACTCTTAGGTCCCCTTTGTCTGAAATCCTTGCCTGTGGCACTGCTTTGTTGTCTAGAGCCCCTGCCCATAACCCCAGCCTAGACCAGGTCTGCTGGGGCGCATGTCCCTCTGCAGCTTGCGGGATCTCTCCCGCCGGCTCAGCCCCTCCGTTTCCCACCCTACTTCCCACTAACCCTCTTCCTACATGAGACCTGGGCGCACCCCAGCTCTGCCCCTTATTAGCTGTGGGACTTGGGCGAGACATTAACTGTCTTCTCACCTGTGAAGTGGGGATAATGAACATGCCACTCAGGGGAATTCTGAGAACATAGGTCACATACAGGAGCACCTGGCACAGCCCACTGTGGAACCCTCCACAGGAAGGAAAATAAATCTGAATTCGGCAGCCCGTCCCATCCTCTGACCTGGCCCTTTTTGCTTTTTATTCTATGCTTGTCACTACATATGCTTAATTCATTGGCAGCTTATCCATCTTACACTTCCCACGTTTTGTTCACAAGGTTTCACATGGAGCTGGGTCGGGGGTGGGGTGAAGGGACGGGGGGAGAAAGGAGTCTTCAGGATGTGCTTGAAAATAAGTTTATTGAGAAACAGGTGCAATGCATGCAAACTGTGTGTTTGGGTCACTGTTTCTTTGGCAGGCAGAGAAGGCTCCACCCACCGTGGCTCTGCACACAGACAGACCCGGCGTGGCGGCTGTGGAGTGGGGTTGGGGGCCTACTGGGTGCGCTTGGTCTCACTGAGCAGCTCTTGCCAGTTCTTCTCCATCTCTTCCTTGCAATTGAGAAAGGCGTCCTCCAGCCGGCGCATGGACTCTGCCAGGGTGGGGTTGGTGCGTATCACCACCATGTCGTAGGCCATCCATGTGGCCTGCACTGCAACAAACAGACAGGCCCGGTCAGGCCACATGATGGGGCTGTGGTGCCGGAGCACCCCAGGGACCATATCAGACTGAGTGACCCAACTATTCTAAGGAGAGAAAGCTGGGCAGCCACTTGATACAGGGCTCACCTCCGCCCCCCCATTAAAACTAATCCCTTCACAGAGCAGTAATGAAACTTCTCTAATCTCACACAAGTCTTAACTTGTGGATATAACAGCCATGACACTAAAAGGCTGCAAGCCAATCTGATATGAAATGCTAGGAAAAAAGAAAGCAAACACAGATCCTTACCTAGCCACTGTCACAGCTAGTGGCTGCAGGGTGACCCTTAAGAAGTCTTACCACCACCAAGCTCACAGGCTCAGGGAGGGCTGACTCCCACGCCTACAAGGCCCTGAATCTCATGTTCCCTCATGCTCAGTGGCCTGGATGCCTGTTCACCTCCACCCAGGCCTCCCTGTGCTTTAATTAAGGCCAGTGCAGAGCTTCTCCCTCTGGGAAGGTTTGCTGCACCCCACATTAGGTGTCCTCTGGTGCTCACACTGCACTGACCAGCTCCCTTGCCCTTTCCCTTTAAGAGCAACTTGAGGGCAGGTCCCCTGGGTGTACAGTGAACATGTGCTGCTTGTACAGAAATTCCACCTTTTCTCTGTAGTACCCACCCCATTGTTAAAGCTCTGCCCGAGAACTATTGTATAAAGAACAGGGGTCCTAGCGCTTCTGCATGGCAGGAAGAGTTGTTAGAAAAGGTACGTGCAGTATCTCATGATGGCCATGACTGCACAGCAAGTGCAGGAATTCTTGAACTTTTGGAAGCATGTGAGTTCCTGGGGACACCTGTTAAGATGTAGAATGCTGGCCCCTCCTACAACTCAAAGGTTGTCTATTATAGCAAGTTGGGAATGGTTCCCTGGGACCTGCATCTTAACAAGCATCTGGGTAATTTTGGGGTGGTGAGTGGGTAGGGAGGCTGCTGACCTATTTTTTTCAGACCAACTGGACAGCAGGTGGAACATGCACTGTTTTATTCCAGCTCTCCACTTGCTGGCTGTGGAACCTACAAGCTACTTAAACTTGCTCACCTCAGCCTTCTCATCTGTAAGGGCCAGACAATGTCCCAATCTCATGGCTCCCTTGAAGATTAAGTAAACTGCCTGGCACATATTAGGTGCTCAAGAAAGAACCTTTTACTATAAAATAAACAATCAAGGTAGTTAGGGCAAAGAGGGTAGGTAAGAAATTAAAATTCAAGAGAAAAAATTGCTCACAGGAATTAATCTCATATAATCCCATAATGCAGCTGGAATTCCAGCTCTGAGTTTCCTAAGGCCAAAGCAGAAAAGGAAACATGATCAGTTACAAGACTCAGTGACCATAAAATAAAAACAGCCGAAACTGGTTTGGCTCAATGGATAGAGCGTTAGCCTGTGGACTGAAAGGTCCAAGGTTAGATTCCGGTCAAGGGCATGTACCTTGCTTGCGGGCACATCCCCAATAGGGGGTGTGCAAGACGCAGCTGATCGATGATTCTCTCTCATGGATGTTTCTAACTCTCTATTCCTCTCTGTGAAAAATCAATAAAATATATTTAAAAATACACCAAAAAACAAACAAACAAAAAACCAAACTCACTGTTTAAGAATCTTTTATCCTAAGAATCTAAACTGTCCTATAGGTATATTATATGAGAAGTATAAAATAGTTGAAAATTCCCTTGATGACATCCTACCTTAAACACAAAGCATTCTTCCATGACTACAATTGTAATCACAGGTGGCATAGTACCAAAGCACAGATCAGAAAAGGCACTTCAATGAGACACCAAAACACCACAGCAAATGCACAGCCCTCTTCTGATTTGATCAAAGAAAAAGTATATAGAGCCGAAACCGGTTTGGCTCAGAGGTAGAGCGTCGGTCTGCGGACTGAAAGGTCCCAGGTTCGATTCCAGTCAAGGGCATCTATGTTGGTTGTGGGCACATCCCCGGTAGGGGGTGTGCAACAGGCAGCTGGTCGATGTTTCTTATCGACGTTTCTAGCTCTCTATCTCTCTCTCTGTAAAAAATCAACAAAATATATAAAAAAGAAAAAAGAAAAAAAAAGAAAAAGTATATAGAATATTATACATAGAACAGGAAGGACTCAATAACCAGAATACTCTCCAGCAATACACATCGCAAGTTTTCATTATTTATTGAGCGCCCCCTTTATGCTGGCATTTTACCAGGCAGCCCTGGTGATAAAGCCGTACACAGGATAGACACTTCCTACCTTCATGCAGTATCTATACTAGTTGCAGTGGGAGGAGGCAGATAAACATACAATTTCGAATTGTGAAAGGTGCTGTGAAGGAAATAAGTAGTATGTGTTGTGATAGAGAAATGGGGTGGGAGGAGTCATATTACAGACGAGATAGTGAGGGCAGGCCCCCTCTGGGGATTTTTGGTAAGGGACTGTGCAGTAGCAAAGCCAAGGTCATAATCAGTGGAGAGGCCTGAACAGCAGGTATTCTGAGAGGCTAATCAGAACTTGCCTGTACACTTTGAAAACCCATTGGGTAAAGCCAAGGTCCTTGCATGTAAATTAAGAAACAATGGTCAAGTTGTATACTATGAGCTCCAAGGACCAAGAACTGGTCCTGGTGGCTACCTGGGCAAAAGATCCAAACCAAAAAACAAAAAACAGAGCCTAGCAGCCATTTCTGCATAGAATTCTGCATAGAAGGGTTCTCAAGTCAAGCTGAAGCCTCTGCACTGAACTGCCTGCCTGCACTGTGTTGTTGCTAGCTGAGCCAGCCCTTATAGAGGAGTTCCTGAAATCCTATTTCAACCATTAGGACTGAGGCTTTCCCCATCCAGAAAGAGCTGTGCAGTTCAGACCAATTGGAGTAGCTCTATTCTGACCAATCAGGGACGAAGGGCTGGGACTTCTGTCTATATAAGCCAACTCTTGGCCCACCAAAGACTGCCGCTGAACACCACCTCACAGCAGAGCTCCCTAGCTGAAGTGGGACCTGGCCCAGGGCAGCTGTGATGCAGTACTGTGGAGCCGTTCCCCAGCAGTGCTGTTTTCATAGGTATGCTGTATTTCTGTGGAGCTGTTTGCACCAAAGAAAGTTTCCTTCTTCACTCCAAACTGGGGATTCCTGTTAGCGTTTGAATTGGCACCAATGACCACTGGTGGACAGACCCTAGATGCATAATTTAGTAAAGGATGAGGATAGTGTCCCAAAAATCTGTTTAGGAGAGAGAAGAACTAACTAGTGATGCAGTCAGTGGATTTGCTTTGGGAGCCTGGAAAGTAGAATTGGGAGAGAGAGCACAGGGAATGAGACAAGAGGGCTAGCTGACCAGGAGATGGGATAATGACAAGCCTGGAGGTTACAGGCCACAGGCTAATTCAAATAATTGGCCAAATAAACCAAGAAACGTGTTAAAATGTAAATGGGTGAAATTCTACCAAATTTGGAAAGAACAATTAATGCTTATCCCTATACTAGGATTCATGCACTGGGGCGGGGGGCGGGGGGGAGGTCCCTCAGACCTGCCTGACCCCCCTCACAGTTCAGGAGCCCTCAGGGGCAGGAGGAGACCTGGAGAACAGGGGAAGACAATGCCCCCATCACACTTCTGCTGCTGCCACTGCCGGTAGCGCAAGCCTCAGCCAGCCCTGGTTACCTGAGCCTCGGATGGCCCTGGGTGGCTGGGAGGCTGAGGGGACTGGCGGATTCTGGAGACAGGCGCACAGAGCGGTTGGATCCAGTGGGGCTGAGGAGACTGTGTGCACCGCCATTTTTGAGGGTGTGGAAGTCAATTAGCATATCCCCTCTTTATTGGCTGTGGGTGCTGCCATCTTTGTAATGGTGTGATGGTCAATTAGTATATTCCCTCTTTATTAGATATAATAAAAGCCTAATATGCAAATAGACAGAACTGTGGAATGACCGGTGGAATGACTGGTTGCTATGATGCCCACTCACCACCAGGGGGCAGATGCTCAATGCAGGAGCTGCCCACAGCCCGCAGGCCCCAGGCCAGCCAAGGCAGGTGCCAGTGGGGAACCCCAGATCAACCGGATGGTTGCCCCATCAATTGGCCCTAATTGCCGGCCAGGCCCAGGGACCCTATCCATGCACACATTTCGTACACTGGGCCTCTAGTCTGATATAAGTAATTAAAAAAATTAGGAAAAGAAGGAAGACTAATAATCTCACTATATGGGCTGATGTAATTTTTTAAGAAAAGCATTTTCTAGTGGCATCCCACTTATATTGCAGGAAATTTGAGAATAGAAATAAGAAAAAAATCCTATATAACAAAAGCTTAATATACTAAGTGTCTATACTAAGAATACTAATATACTAACAAAAGCCTAATATACGAATTGCCATTTGTTCCACTGTTTGACCAGTCGCCATGATGTGCACTGACCACCGGGGACAGAGGCTCCAATTGGTAGTTTAGCTTGCTGCTGGAGTCTAGCCGATTAGGACTACGTGAGAGAGGCTGGACTTGCCCTGGAGCTGCCCTCTCTAGTTTCTAAAATATTTATTCTAATTAATTTCCTTTCAATGTGCATGAATCCATGCACTAAGCCTCTAGTAAATACATAGTTTTCTCTAAGGTGGTTTATTCCAAAACCAAAGACAACATGAGAAAAATTATATCTATCTCACATGAATATAGGTGTGAAATCATAAATATAACATGAGCTAATGAAATCTAACAGTGTGTTAAGATAATATGTTATGATTATGCAGAGTTTGTGAAAGAAATTCAAGGATGCTTAGATATCAGAAATTCAATCACTATAATTAACCACATTTATAAAAAAAAGGAAATAATAGAAATATCTCAATGCAAAAAAGATAGGTATTAAAGTTTAATACCTTAAGGAGACATCTTTAACTTACTATAGGTGATATACCAAAAACTTATAGCAAACATCATACGTAATGGAGAAACTGTGGATACATTCCCTATAAGGCTGGTA